TCAGCAGCTGTGGGTGTGAGGGCCAACTGTCCACGCCAGGGAAGGGACATGAGTATCCACATAAGGGAGCTGGTGTCCAGAAGGATCCTGGACACAGCTCCCTGCAGGTGCCAAAATGTGAGAAAAAAGTCATCAGCAGCGGTTACAAGATCTGATCCACAGAGTGTGGCTACCATTATTATTTTTTTTCTTTTTGAGTCGGAGTCTCACTCCGTCACCCAGACTGGAGTGCAGTGGCCGCTCCCAGCCACCGCAGCCTCGACCTGCTGGGCTCCGGCGATCCTTCCGCCTCAGCCTTCCGAGTAGCCAGAACTACAGGCGTGCACTACCACGCCCGGCTGATTTTTTGATTTATTCTAGAGATGAGGTCTTGCCAAGTTGCCCAGGTGGGTCTCGAACCTGCGGGCTCAGGCAATCCACTCACCTCAGCCTCCCAAAGGCGCGGGATGACAGGCTGAGCCACCGAGCCCGGCTCCCATTAATCTAATTGGGAAAAATTCTAAATGAGGCATAACCAAACGCTCAGCCTAGTTTTTGAAAAGACAAAAAACTCACTAAGGTCACAAGACCAGCTGGCTTTGGGGAAGGTTAACTTCCTCAGGCATTGAACAACCAATAATAATGTATGCGTCTTAGCAGTGAGTGATGGGAGCACTGTCTAAAAAAATGTAAGCCGGGAAGATCTAAAACCAGTTGGTTTTGGGTTTAGAACCATTCATTCTGAAGCTAACAGGCTACTCGCTCAGCCAACGTGTCCTGAGCTCCTACCATGGACAGGTGTTGTGTGAGGGCCTCTAGGACTCAGGTAAACCAGAAGGACAAGGCCCTGGCCCACAGGAGCCCACATCCTCACGGGGGCAGGAGGGCAGGGAAGCAGCTGGCAAACACACAGACAGACACCTTGGAAAGGGGCCACAGTCGTGACCGTGGTGATCATCACAGCCATCAGACCCAGTTCTGGAGGGGCCAGGCACCCTTCCTAAGCCTCACCCGACAAGGAGGTTCTACTGTTTTCCAAATGAGAAGCCAGGCCCAAGGTCACCTGGATCATCAGTGGCAGAGCCAAGCTTGAGTCCTGGCCACCTGGCGGCAGAGTCCAAGCTGTCCCTTGCTGCCGCACACTGTGTATGGGGCGGGAGAGAGCTGGGGGAGGGCGAAGCCAGGAAAGGGAGGCATTGCTTTAGAGAAAGTAGGGAGGGAAAGTCAGTCAGAAGTGACATCGGAGGTGAGGTCTATGGAGATGAGAAATGCAGCAGTCAGGAGCGAATAAGAACAACAGTCATTGGCATGTTGTCTTTATGGAACCTAGGGCAGAGAAGGAAGGTGCGAAATACGTTTGCTAGCCAGGCTCGGTGGCTCAGCCTGTAATCCCACACCTTTGGGAGGCTGAGGTGAGTGAATTGCCGGAGCCCACGGGTTCGAGACCCGCCTGGGCAGCGAGACCTCATCTCTACAATAAATCAAAAAATCAGCCGGTCTTGGTAGCGCATGCCTGTAATTCCAGCTACTTGGAAGGCTAAGGCGGAAGGATCGCCGGAGCCCAGCAGGTCAAGGCTGCGGTGGCCGGGAGCGGCCACTACACTCCAGTCTAGGCGACAGAGTGAGACTCCAACTCAAGAAAAAAAAAAAAGAAAGAAATACGTTTGCTGTTGGAAAAACAGTGAGGGATATTACAAACAAATGACTAGGAATCAAAATAAAACGAGAAACTTAATGCAGACTTACAGTTCACCCTAAGCCTGCAATATACGATTAGGTTTGAAAGACGTCCGAAATCCCACATTTAGTACTTACTCATTCTTGTCCAAAAGACTGTTGAACAAGTCACCGCCAAACTCATGGGGTTAAAATCTTCCATTCTCTTTTATACACAACTGGCACTTTTGAACAAAGGAAGAAGCAGGCTACTAATTTATTTTTTTTTAACTGCATTCAATCCTTCACAAACATGCCCTATATACATATCCTGGCATGGCACCTCCCAAGAACTCCCTTGGGTTTTTCCTACAAAAATTAACCCCTATCACTTTCCAGCTTGCTCAAGTGGAGAACGAGCCTGTCTAAACAGAACAGAGGCATGCCCTCCATGGCTCGACCACAGAGGGATGAGAGGAGAAAATCTCCAGGGAAGGTGTATGTGGACACAGCCGAGAGCCCTGAGCTTAAGGGCTGGTCAAGGACCTTGAATTCGGGCCAGCTGTGCCGCCATTATTCCCCCTACTTGCTGACGCTAACCAGACTCTCCCCCTCCGCTCAAGCCTCGAGGAATTGCCGCGTGTTTTGCTTCGATAAGAGGAGATTTGTCTGCAAGTCGCTCTATCACCACCTCACTTGGATGCACGTGGAGACGACAGCCCACAGTTACGGGGTGTTGAGGAGGATACAGAAAGGTGACAGAAGCCGGGAGGGGCAGGGAAACTAGTCCAGCAGCACTTCTCACCACCCCAACCCTTCCCCTCCTCTCCTCACCCGCCATCAATGCTCAGCTCAGCGCCTTTCCATTGGCCTTACCCCCAGCTCCACAGCTGGACATCAGAACCTCTGGCTCAGGGATTCTTTCTGCCCCAGGGCCACAATCCTACCCCAAGACCCACCCGGTTCAAATGAACAAAGCTTTTGCCACAAAGCTTTTGCCACAAGCAGGTTCCTTGGACACTTCCACTCCCAAATCCAACCAGTGGGAGTCAAGGGGAGTTTCGGGTTCCCTCACTGAGACGGTAGCTAGGTTCTTATCTGATCATTACCACAATCTGGCATACTCTGGTTTATGGTCTCACCTGAGCTCCAAACCACTATGCATAAGACAAAGTGGTGTCAGGCCCTTCGAGATACATTATCCCATTTGATCCTCTCAAAACTTCTGGGAGACAAAGAGTTTTTGACAGCATAATGAAAAAGAGCAAAAATACCTAACACTCATGAAGACTTAAAGTCTGCTTACCAAATAAGGAAATTATTCACCAATAAATTTTGGTAATGCAGCCTGTTTTCATATAGGGGGCTGTCTGGGCCCTAAAGCGGGCCAAATATGAATAGGTTTATAGAGCAAGAGAAAGATCATTATTCAGGGAAAAAGTCCCAGTTTTTTATTCCTACAGTTTGCTTGACCGCATCTGAGATCGTCCCACAAGATAATCTACATGACTGAAAGAGACGACCTTTGGTAGGCTGTGATCAAAATGTGCTTCCATTTTATTCCCCTAAACTGGATATCACTAATTCCCAGACACTCTGCTACCTCCCAGGAACTGCCACCTGGTGACTTGACGTCAAAGAAATGTTCACAGGCTCCTAAAGATAATTTGTCTATCGCATCTCAACTGGCAGGATCCTGGTTTAAATGAGGAAAATGTTCATTTGAAAGGAAAGGAGCAGAAGAATGAAAATACTTTCTGCTTGGGCAGAAATGTATCTTCCCTACTCAAGTCAGAGTAAATAATCCTAATGATTCGAGTGACTCTAAGTGACTCTGGGCTTGCTACGAGCAGGTCTTTTATGCCCGTTTGTACAATTCTGTACCTGCCCAGCCACAAAGATATGGCAATCCTTTCTCATGCATCACAAACCAAGTATCAGCATGTAAAACGATAATGCCAACAAGTAAAGACAGGCTTTCGTCACTAATCCTTTGCCTACTGTGACTCACGGTCCTCAGAGTAACTCTTCCAATCCTTGGAAGCGCTTGTAGTTTTCCATGACCCACAGTTAGAATACATACATAATGTACGAGGGCTGCCTGAGGGTTAAAGTTTGTTTTTTTCTATTACCTACTTTCAAAGGAAGAAAAACTATTGCAATAAACAGGAACATCTGAAGGGTATGGATAAAACTCGAAGCTCTTACATGGTTTGAATTACTTTCCCATGGATATACAGTAGTCAAACAGATTTTTTATGAAAACTTTGGCAATCTCACTGTCTATGGAGGAAATTGAGTGCTGGCTACAAAGACACAATTTGTCATTTTAGTTTCCAGAATCAAGCCAAAACAAATGTCTCAGATGAAAAAATGTCAAAATAAGTAATGGTGGTTTTCATTTTTACATGCTTAAGAAATACGCTTTGATATTCTAAACAACAGGATTACTTTCAGTTCCCAAATAATCTGCACTCTCTTTTGCTTCCTGGCACTTATACCTGCTGGTCTCCCTGTCTGGATGCTCTTCCTGCCATCAAACACACCTTTTCCATCCTCTTGTTAACCCCTGTTCATCCATTGTATGGACATCTACTAAGGTCTCCCTTCTTCCCAGAAGTCTTCCGTGACCTCCACTAACCCTGCACGGTTATTTGGGCTATGCTTCATCCTTTGAAAATGCCTTCAATTTTGTTTTCAGCAAGAAATTTTTAATCCTAAGGAACATTCAGTTAAAGCTACATAATGTAATGTAATATGTACTATAAGTTGTAACTTCTTCGTTCATTTTAGCTCTGTTAGTCCTTAAAATAATACAGTGATGTTATGTTATACATATTCTCTAAAAAGACTCCACTGTGTTGATCCTGGCCATGAGCTCTCTGAGTAGAGCTGATTTTAAAAGGGGATGGAAGAGCAAGTAGTAGCTTATTTACTACATGTTTATTTGAGGCCTACTCTGTGAATCACTGTTCTGGTCCTGATGATCTGGTAGAGAAGGAAAGAAATGAGTAAACAAATAAATACGTGGAATCTTCCATCTTATCTGGAAACTTTACTTTTCTGGCAAATGGAACAGAATACCTGGAAACAGCGTACCTGACTGACAGCGAGCGCACAGTGATGTCTCACGAAACAGAACGCTTCTAGCAGGGAGACACAGTAAGAGCTTCAAACATTTCGGTCTTCAACCTTCAATAATTACAGGACAGAATGGAGGGATTCTTCCTAAGCCATTCCACCATCTGGACCAGGGCATTCCTGATGCTTTGTGCTGGGAGAACCTCTCATCCTCTGACTGCTTAATTAAGACTTGTTATTAAGCTGAATACTAGTATGATTCAAGTTTCTACAGATGGGCTTACCTCAACATATGAAATTGGAAATATTCCTATTCTGTCCGCCAGCATTCCTTCAGCCCAGTTTTCATCCACTCTTCGGATCACAGTCAGAACATCATCCTGAAGAAATGGTGAACCATTAGTCTACCAGATCCCATTAAGCTTGTCATTTAATTTTCCTCTTCAACAAAGAGACTCAAGTTTTAGGAGTGCATGAATAAAAATACTATGATATGTCTTTAGCACATGAATTCAATGTCTTCATCAACTAAATGGGAACTATTATCAGTCAACTTGGTGTCTTCCAGACAATTGTAAAGCTGCAAACTCCTTCTATACAAGGGGCTGGCTACTGGTTTTGTTTCGGTCCACAAATTGAAACTTCAAATGCGATCCACTCCAACCTCTAGAATTTCTGGTCTAGATAGATTCTCAGATGTTTCTTGCTTTCCCTCTGATAACACAACTGCCCATTCAAAAGCACATCCTGCTGCTTTTCTTTATAAAAAATGCATAATTCTGCTTAAAACGCCAAACCATTTTATCAATTCAGTAGATATATTCTGCATGCTTTTAGGCAAAGAAATTTACATTTAAAACAAGATAGCAACGATGTTTCATTTTGTAATTCATAATTAAGTACTTTAAAATCCCGGAGTGGTCCACACACCCTTTAAAGTGGCTTAGAAATAAATTCAAGGTCTAAATATGAAAATGATACCACACGGAGTACCAACCCAAATTACCTTTCACATGAGAAGTCTAATGGACAAAATCACCTTCCTTGTGACTTAGAGGCTGCCTTGGGTATTTTTATAAGTGTGGTGAGACAGCTCACACAACACTACTCTATCTTTCTGCAAAAGAAGACGCCAGCCACAGCCCCAGGCATGTGGGTGCAGGGAAGAGCTGCAAAGGAGACGGGGTGCCCCAACGTTACCTTTGCGAACGGAAGGCAGTCTCTGTCTGCCTCCTGGTCTTTCACCTCGAAGTCATAAAGTGCTTTGCACTGAGGTGGGGGCTGAGGTAAGGGCTTAATGATCTGCACGAAGTTGGTGGGGAAGAAGCCGTGGACCCCGCTGACCTCCCCGTGGTACCAGTTTTCATCCACTTGTCTCCGCAAAATGATGATGTCCCCCTTGCTGAATCGCAGGTCTCCAGGCTCTTTGCCTTCATAGTTGTACAATGCTTTGGCACATGGCAGCTGAGGTATGCCCTTCAAAAAGAAAAAAGGCATTGTTAATGAAAGAATGGGCCCAAAATGTCTCTGAAAATACAACGCCATCATCACTGTCCTTAAGTCAAGGTCAGACCCACACTTGGCCCCTTGAAGAAAACGTCCCATAAGAAGTTATATTTGTGTGCTACCAAAAAACAGAAGATACGAAACAAATGGCCATACTGAGAGAAGAACAGCTGGACACCCACCCAGCACCAGTTGCGACTGAGCATGCACGTCCAGGCTTCACTCTGGCGCTCTGGCCTTGCCTGCTCTCAAGGTTCCAGTAAGTTAAAGCATGAACTGCCACGCCTGCCTCCCTGGTGCAGAATTCAAGAACTTACAAACGCAGGCTTGACTTCCTATGTTAGTGACTTTATTCATCAGGGTAAGTGACAACCAGGGGAGAGAGATGTAAGCAGAAGCATAAGACACTAATCCACGATCTGCTCTTAAGCGCGATTGAGAAAAATAAGAGTCTGGCTTTTGGGCAAACCCCTTTCCTGATACTGTGTGGGCAGTGGATGTCATTCTTTCTTGAGCTCAACAAGTGTTTAACATGTGACTGCTCTGAGCGAGTCGTGAGTGAGACGGGTTCTGGCATCTGGGGCTTAGAATCTGTAAGTGAACAGAGGGTCTTCTAGTCTCAGATCATCCAATTTTGCTCTTCCCGACATTGCATTGTGGCTTGAAATCACAAGTTCAAACTTGTGTTTGCATCCCCAAGGCAGTTTAGTCATCAAAGGGATTAAACATGATGCCTCCAACAGCACTGGGGCGCCCACTCCTGAGCATTGATCAGTTGTCACCTTCAGAGCTGGGGCCCCTCTGGGGTGCAGCTTCGGGGGGAAAATGGCAAACCAGGCATGTCAGATTACAGGGTTCCTGCTTCCTGAGTCCTTATTCATGCATTCCTTTGTCCAGGAAACACTGAATGAGCTTTTCCTTTTACCAGGCAATGTGCTGGTACCGAGGACCTCAAGAGAAACAAGGCGTAGTTCTTCCCCTCAAGGGACGAGACATCAGAAGTCACTGTGACGCAGCGCAGTGAACGGGGCAGCGTCCTGCAGGAAGAGGCGCATGGGGAGAGCCAGGCAGAGCTGGAATGGAGGGAGGAAGGAGCAAGGGAGGGGCGCCAGCCAAGATGGAGGGGAGGCGGCACATGGCACTCCTGGGCAGGAACCGTGGAACAGAGGGGCCATTTGCAGAGGGTGGTGAATGGCATGTGGCAAAGTTGGGACTGCAACACAAGCCACTCACAGGCTTGCAGCACCAAAGGACACAGTAAGACCCACGTGCCCACCAGGCACGGTGGCTCCTGCCTGTAATCCCAGCACTTTGGGAGGCGGAGGCAAGAGGACTGCCTGAGTCCATGGGTTTGAGATCAGCCTGGGCAACCTGGCGAGACCTCATGTCTACAATAATTCAAAAAATTAGCAGGGCCTGGTGGCGCATGTCTATAGTTCCAGTTACTTGGAAGGCTGAGAGGGAAGGATCATCTGAATTCAGCAGGTTAAGGCTGCAGTGGCCATGACCGTGCCACTGCACTCCAGCCTGGGCGACAGAACGAGACCTCAAAAAAAAAAAAAAAGACCCGCATGCCCAACAGACAAGTCTGGGCAGTGTGGAGGAGGGCCATGGGGCGGGGGCAGGCGGCAGGCTGTGGTGCAAAGCGCAGACCCCAACTCACCGAGCTGTGTTTCAGTGTAGCCCTTCCACCAGAGTAGGGCCTCGTGAGTATTACTCACAGTACTGCCTACACCCACCAAAAGAAGTGGATTCCAGTTTGATGCCCTTGATGGCAACAGAACTTCAGGATACAGATTTCGGCAGTTAGTTTGATTTCCAGTCAGAGACGTTTTTGTTCAGGGACAGTAACCCTTGCTCTCAAAATGCTCCTGCAGCCATCTGCCCTGGCTTAGGCCATGTGTGCGGCTGCGGTTAGTCAGCTACTCTGAAAGACGAACGCCCTGGGAAGACGGAGCTGAGACGGCCAGAAGCACTGACACCTTCCCATGCCCTCGACCTTTCCGACCGTGTCACAAGACCCAGCCTCTCTAGCGGCATGACTCCTGTGGCTCGGCCTTGACCTCATCTCGCAAGCAATGCAGCTGTGCCCAGAAAGGAGTGTCCACCAGGAACTCTGTGCACAGCCCTGTGGACCCGGGTCACGGTACACTCCATGCCCAACTCTGGGGCAGGAAGAATTCTAACTTCCCGACCCTCACAGACGTCTCGCTACAGTCCCTACTGGACTGTGTTTCTCGAAGCCTGGTTTCTAGTTTAACAATATGCCCAAGACCGGTTTGAGCCAATAACAGTAAACAAGCACGGCAGTGAGTATCACTATGATAGAGAGAGACCTGCCCCGACAAGTACTGTGCTCAAGGGTCTCCTGTGACACGGCTAGTGAGACTCTGGCAGCACAGGGTACTGGCTGGAGGGCCCAAGCCAGTGCCAGCCTGCTGGGCTTCGAACCCCCCTGCTAGCTGTGCAACCTTGGACAGGGTGGCTTCTCTGCGCCTCATTCTTCATTCAGGTGGCGGTGAGGGCTTGGCAGTCACAGGTGTAAACCATTCCTCGGGCCTAAGTGCTACCTCCGTCTCCTCTTCCTCATCCCTACCCAGGGAGAGCCTGCTCACCAGGGAAGTGGGGCACGCAACCAGGAGTCTGTCTACGCCGCAGGTGCTTCGCCTTTGGGCTGAATTCACAGGGCAGTTACACCTTTAACACGCACGCACTGCATGACGATGCCAAGGACGCTCCTCCCAGGAAGCCTTCAGGATCTTGACCCGTGCACTTCTGAAGCACACCTTCGTCTTCAGAGTAAGACCCACTTGTCCTCTGGTTGAAAGAAGAAATGCTGCGTTCACGGATGTGCACTGGTGAACGGGGGCTGGCGATTTCAGATGTGGCAGCAGTTCATCTTGACAGAGCCAACGTGAGGTACTGGAAGCCCGCACGAATTAGAAATCCCTTTACAAGCTGGGTGACAAATAACTCTATTCACCATGCTGGCCTGTCCCCCCACCTCAATGAGCTCTCTTTGCCCCACTCTGTCCAAATCCAAGCCAGCCAAACCTGCACACCCAGACACAAAGTGAGCACTTGGAAACCCTCTGCAGGCTCCTCGAAAAGCTCTGTGAAATTCCAAGCGACCTACAATACGGCTCTTCTGTGGTATGTTGAGGGGGGGACGGAAGGAATGTATTTCTTTACAGAGCGCTTCCACACCCCAGTGGCCTAATGGACTTATTGACTTTTCCACAAAGCACATCTACTATGTGTCCCTTAAGTCATCAAGTATCGTAACAGAACGCAAGGGAGTGAGAAAGGGTATCACAGTAACGACGACGTACATTACAGCCAGCCCATAGCCCAATCGAAAATTCATTAATTCACACCAACTTGCTGAATCTTCAATGCTAAGGTTATTTCAGTGATCAGCAACCACAGAGAAAGGGTCATAAAGCTTAAGACAAGCTAACCCACAAGCAAGCACGTGTGCATCTGGCTGTGTTTTTCTATGGTGTCCTTTTTCAGTTAAATCCTAAGAGGCTAGAAGGCCAGTCTGTGTCAAGTTTCTCAAAAGAAGGCTTCCCACATTAAATAAAATGAATTCTACTCTGATTTCAAATCAAGCAGCGCACGGTCCTTGAACGCCGCGTCCCACACAGACCCCAGATGGTCAGGGACAGACGGCCACACGACTTGGAAGAGCAACAAGAGGATAGGCTTTTCCCCTGGCGGCCTCTGAAGGGCAAAGCCAAGACCCAGGTCTGCCAGCTGAGTGAGGGTCACACTGCAGATGAAGTACACTGAGCCACGGAGCCCTGCCCCTCCATTCACCTCCTCAGAAGGGCCTAGGGGTCACAGCCTCGCATGCCCTCTGCCCTCCATGCCTGGCAGGCTCCACAGACTACTGCCTGGCCTCGGCATCCTCCTGTTAGTGGCCCCAGGTCCTGCTTCATTTCAGTTGGAGACTTTCGCTTGGCTGCACATGAAAGGGAGGCTTGAAAGGAGAGAGCCGGAGAGAAGCTGCTGTGTCGAACCTTGGCTCTGCAGGGCCAGTCGTGTCGCCAGCCTCCAAGAAGCCTGGCAAGCTAGACGGGTAGACATTAGCACGATTCTGCACCTAAAACCCATCTAATAAACAGCAACTATGTTCTCATAAAAACAAACAAATAAGCACAATAGTAGACCAGTTTTACATTACAAATAATTTTTGCTTCTAAATCATATATACAGGCTGTCTTACATGACATTAAAATCCCTGTGCTCTGCATACAAATATCAAATATTTTTATTAAATGCTTTACACTTCCATTTCTATATCATCAAGTGCATTCCAATCTGTCTTGCAAAATGCCACTTGATGATCTACTGAGATTCTAGCAGGTAAATAAAACATTCCCTGCCAATTTATTTTATAGTCTCTAAATGCCAATGCCCAAATACACATGCAAGACAGCTCCTCTAAATTCATGTTCCTTCATGCATTTCTTACTGCTCCATAAAGTAAAAAGATTCAATGACCTACTAAAAAGAAAACCCAGAAGACACTCTGGTAGTGGGAACAGCTATAAAATGTGTACAATTTAATAATTTAGTTATATCTAAATTGGCACAAACTCTGGCTGTTCCAACTTGACTTTCAGAAACTTTCCAGAAAGAACTGAGGCACAAAGAAAACACAGGCACAGAAAATACCGCACAGAGTAACAAGCAGCAAAACGGGCGAAGGAAAGATTTTTTGTAATGCTCTCTGTACAACAAAATCCAAGATGGCTTTTCCCTATCGAGATATAGTAACACTGTCTCAAGAAAATACTGATTCTTTAACAGTTAATAAGTCTTAAATATTGTTCTCAAGATGTCTAAATCAGATTATCACGCAAATATGACTTCACCATCACTTGGAATGTTCCAACTCCAATGTAACAGACATCCAAGGCAACTATTACACGTTATCTTTCCAAAGCAATATTGGAAGGGAC